TATTTAATCTCAAGAAGAAAAGAGCCTTTATCCAGAGGAAATTTCTCTTGAGAAGTAAACTTCTGAATGAAAGAAAAATTGGGGTTCCAGCTTAAAACATTGTAGGTAGAGAAATTGACAGTCAGTGGCCCTCATCACTCACTCCTAACAGACACATAAGGATAGCTCTGATTATCTCTGAAGATCTCAGCCTATCCAGAAGTACAATATATTTAAAGGGAAAAGTAATAGAAGCTTGATTTAGAAAGACCCTGAGTGACCATCCAGTTAAAAAATTTTACAGAACATATTTGCGTCCCTGCTTTTTTTCCTATTTTCATATTCCAATTCTAACATTAATAAATAAATATTCTTTAATTTTGTATCTTGGGATATGGATAGTTTGTTGGTTGTTTTTTCTTTTTAAATTTCTTTTTATCCCCTTTTATTAGTGGGGGAGGTAAGTAGGTTATTTATTCATTTATTTTAATGGAGGTATTGGAGATTGAACCCAGACCTAGTGCATGCTACTCATGCACTCTACTACTGAGCTATACTCTCTCCCCCTTGATGAGTTTGGAAATATGTACTTTTTGTTTTTGTGCTTATAAAACAATAATTGTTTATCCTGGGAAATGGGTGCATAAGACATAAAGAACAAGTTTTAATTTTTGCTTAACCCTAGTATTTTATAAAATTATCATAATGTGTATATTGAAGTACCCTTCTTTTTCATAAAAATACATATAAAATGATTTGTCCTTTTTTAAATTGGGAACTTCTTTGTTTTAATGGCTGTATACATTCTAGTGCAAAATATGTCACATAATATTTAAACTCTCCTCTAAGATCACAGCCAGCACAACCTTCCAGGGGTTCTAGTTACATACAGCAGGACTCAGTTCTATTTGCATGTCTGTGCTTAATTGTGTATTAAATGTAGGCAGGCCTCACTTTGAATATGCCGTGGTCAAAGAGTTCCATGCAAAGCAAAGACAGATTTCCAGGTTCCACCAGTTTCATTTATAGGAGATCACAGGGAGTGAGGGCTGCCTGCATTAACATGTCAGTGGTTCCCTTTTTCTCAACTATAAAACTGACATTATGATGAAAATCTTCACCTAAGTTTCTTACTATTCCTTCAGCACATGCTGAAAAGTAGACTGAGTAAAAGTG